ATCCTGTCTCTGCAAACAGAAGATAATCCGGACAGGTTTGGAGGTTTCAAGGAGAAACAATGGATTGAACTAGCAATGCAAACTCCAAGAAAATTCTGTGCTTGTGATCAATTGTGAATACAATGTTGGGGTTTACTATGAAAATAACTTCTTCCATGTGACTTGCTAGAATTAGAGAAGAAAACCATTGTAGACTCTGTCAGTTTTGAGAGAGATTAATCACGACATATTTGGGGAGCAGCTTAGTTGCTTAGGACTAAAATAGTTCCAGGAATGAGAAGTCAGAATGTAACTACATTCAGGGTTTGTGGATCACCCTACCATACTTGCTGGTGGGAGACAGCCAGAAGGCACAGTCACAGACATAGACTCGCTGAGAAGTTTAAGCAGGGCTGAGCTCAGGTCAGGTATGACTTAGTGGTCTGTGCCTTTTGTGAAAAGCCAGGCTGTCATGTGATTTTCTGAAAGGTTTACATGTGAAATGCTGTCATTAAGCCCAGCAGACTCCCTGATCCCACCCCTTGTGCCTAAGAAGTCAGAGAACCTGCAGACCTGTTTGTATTTCCCACATGGCAAGGTGATCAAAGGCATGCTTCATCTTGGGCAGTTGCCACCTACTGGGGCGTGTGGACAGAGAGAGCTCTGGGGCAAGGGTTTGACAGGGCCACAGATCATGAAGCTGGGTGAAGATAGCAGTGACTTGGGGCACACAGGGTCACCAACACTAAGAGCTGCTAGGATGAATACAGTCATAAAGGAGACACCACATCATTGATTGACACTGCCCAGTAGGAAGTGTGGGGGCAGGACTCAGCACACACACAGAAGAAGTGGGTAGAAAAGAATGAGCTCTTGCTGTGACTCTCTGCTCCCCCACTATCTGTGTATTCCATCTCACTGACCTTGGGAAGAAACCACCCACCCAAACACAAAGGGGAATTTCCTTCTTTGTTTGTTTATTTCTGCTCTGTTTTCCTTTCTTCTTTGTTTTTAATCATTTTGTCTTTTTGATTTAATTTTTGTATTATTTTTATCCTAATTCCACTAATTTCTTTCATTGTTTATATATTTTACCTTAAATTTCTCATCTCATCTCCCTTTTAATTATTTTCAAATTTTGTTTCTCCTTCCTTTCCCCACACCTTCCATTGCCCTTTTTATTACTTGTAAGCCTTATTAATTTTTTATCTCTTTAGTTGTCTGTAGACTGTATTGTTGAATTATTTTCTGTTGTTTATAATTCTGTAGATGTTTGTTGAATGATAAAATTTGTTTGGTCTTTGTGTCTATATTGCTATAATAGTTTGGTTTTCTGGTTAACAGTGGTATAGTTATAGCTTTAATGATTCTTATGGTCAGTCAACACGTGAGTAATTTAGGCTCCATTATTTTCACTGATTCTCTTTATGTTGTTAATGGTGGCATGATAGTTTTTTTCCATTCGTTATTGATTAATTAATCTATATATCAGAAAAAATACTACAGTTATTCTCTCTTCTCTGTGTAATGGTGGGGATCAAATCTCCATCAGCATGCTGTACATTATGAAACCTCTCAAATACTGGGCTTAATGTGGTGAACATGAGTGGTTGCTGTGACCCAATGTGGCTCCTGAGGTTGTTGGAGTGAAGGATCGTGAGAGGATGAGAAAAATAAACAAGAGATAAAGCTGGGGTCAGGTGGAGCCCTTCTCCTGATAGGATAAAATGTATTGCTCAACCTGTGCAGCGTGTTTATTTATATACTGGGAAAGATGATGCCAATTTCTACCTCTCTGCCTAGCAATCCATTACTTGGATTGTCTCGGGGCTTGGTGTTTTCCTGGACTGTAGCAACTTCTTCACATGGCTGACCTAGGAGTTTTTGTTTTTCTGGTAGGATCACGTTTGGGTCACGCCCAAGGTCAATTTCCAGCTTCAAGGGCTCCCAACAGGTGACAACACATATGCAAAATGAAACTCAAAACATGTCGGTGTCACTCCCGGCCGGCAGGAAGGACACACAACAAAGTCTGGCAGTGGACAACCTTTTCTTTTATTTTCCTTCTCCGTACAGCCTGCCCCGGGAATCCTCCCAGCCGAAGCCTCTGTTGGTCCGCTCCCCGCGGCTCCTTGCGTGCTTCTCCCTACAGTCTGTCCCGAAGCCTCTACCGGTCCGCTCTCCGCGGCTCCTTGCGTGCTTCTCCCTACAGTCTGTCCCGAAGCCTCTACCGGTCCGCTCTCCGTGGCTCCTTGCGTGCTTCTTCTGCTTCTTTTGCTTCTTCTTCTTTCGTGGCGGGAGAGGCACTCACTTTTATAGGGTTACAGTGGCCAATCAGTTCAAAGCGCGCGATGCGGACTGATTGGCTAACATCAGTTGTTGCTAGGCAGACTATCTTACAGGGCGGGTTGTGAAGCAGGAGATCTTACAGGGCGGGTTGTTTACCAAGCAGGAAGCAGGAGATCTTACAGGGCGGGTTGTTTACCAAGCAGGAGATAAGCGCCATCTTAGCACACTCGATGGGAGGGGTAATCTAGCTCAGGCTTTGCTCTTTCCTACAGGCCTCACGTCCGCCAAGTAAGGCGACCGGGTTCGGCCGCGGCTCCCAACAAAAACACATCTCAGGAAGGCATATTTTTTTCTAAGTCTCCAGCACCGTGAGTGCTTAGTGAGTGTCCTCTCTCACAAGTTCAGCTCCTGGCTGCCTGTGGATCCTTCTCTAGCTGTGCTGAGCCCGGAATAGTGGAATTTCGAGACTTAGCAGGACCAGGTCAGCCAGACGCATCCAGAGATTGTCCACTGTATGATCCTGAGGTTTGCAGATAGGAGTTAGTGACAAAGAGGTCAGAGAAGACCAATATTTCCTCAGGATTCCTGAATATCCACCAGGGGCACCTGCTTCCCTGAAGAAGATTTCACCTTCTGAATCCACTTACACAAATTCTGTTACTCATCATATTTGGATTCTGACTGGTTTTAGGCTAGACTGAGGGTCTCCATTTCCCCTGAGAATCAAGAAAGAAATAAAATGTGTGAATCACTGAAAGACCAGAGCTTTTATTCTGGATTCCACAGCTTCATATCTTTACCATCATGACATGACTTCATGACCAGTCATAGAAGCCATTTTCCAGTGGGTCCTTCACCTTCACTGCACTCTCTGAACTCAGAACTTGGGTCTGAGTCTTGTTGGAAATAAGGATACCTGAGTTCCAAGAGCTCAGAAATGGTAACAAACATGATTTCAGGTTGGAAATAACTGAGTGCTACAAGCCTTTGTTTTATCTAGAACACAGGACAATTTACACTGATTCACTTGGAGGGAAATTTCCCTTCGTTCATTGTCTTAACATTCAGGGACCACATATGAAGCCCTGGTCCACAGGGTTCCCCAAATTCAGATTCATGAGGGTGAACATCTGGGGATGTGAGCAAGCCTGGGGCCCTGGTGCCCATCACCCTGCAATCTCATCTTAAGTGATCGTCTCACGAAGTGAAAAAAATATATTGCTACACCCACACACAGACATAGACATGTATGTATCTGCTTTACATGGTGGAAATGTCAGGGATTCCAAAAATCAGTGTGTCTAGTTTATAGATGTATAAATCCATGTAGAATGACCTATAATAAACATGTTAAATGGAACAAGTGGAATAAATGAATAATGTGGATAAAAGGGAAAGGAAATGCAAACATATAAAACATAGATTGTGTACACAATCATTATATATGTGCTCCTGGGATATACATCCCATGTTAATGTCCTGACAAGTGAGTCCTGCCTACAGTATTTCCCTGACAATGATCTCACATGGACTTAAAATTCAATCTGTGTAGTAAATTCCATACTCTAGCACAGATTAAAAAAAGAGAGAAATAAAATATGTATTATTATTATTTGATATTAACTATATAGATGTTGATATAATAATGTGTATTACTATTTCTATATTATACCTAAAGTAGGTATGCAATTGAGAAATCAATTTACTTCATATATATTTTATCAGTGAATCACAGAATATTAAAGAGTTCTTGCAAGAGGATCTGAATATAATCCAATGTACTAGCAATACACATAATCCAGTACCTTTGTTGCATGGTAAATTATTATTCAGTAAACATAAAGTGATCAAGTCTCACTTTACAAATTTTTAAAATATGGGTCATATTAAAAGGTTTTTCTGAATACAAAGTATTCAAATAAATAATATTCATTTAATTGAATATAAAATATTCAAGTGAATTTTGAAATATTTCTAAAGCTCATTAATAAACCTCAATTTTCAACACCTTAAATAGAAAGACTAGACATTCAAAAGTTATTGTCTGGAATTATTGGATAAATGTAAGAAACAGAAATTAGAGGTGTAATTACTTACATTTTTAAGCATAAGTTCATGCGTCTTTAAGTTTTCACAGGAAATTGTTATTTTTAGTTTGGGAAAGAATCAGCAATGATATACAAGTGTGAAACTAAAATGCATAACAGAACTAAGCAGTGCTACACTCCAGACCTGCTGGACAAAGACCCCAGTGACCCAGGGAGCACTGCCAGCCCCTCCTGAGTCTCAGGTGAACACTAAGCACAGAGGCCCCAGGGGACTCAGGAGGGCCCATGCCTAGCAGTGCCCACACCCTGGTGCTTCTCTCTGCAGGAGCCGCTGTGTTGGAGACTCACCCTCACTCTCAGTGGAAACCCAGTGAGGCTGAGCAGCCTCCTGCCTGTATCACAGAGGGCTCAGGGACCTCAGGTGTGGGGAAGGGCTGCATCAGAGAGAGGAGTGCAGAGGTGTTCAAGGATAAGGAGGATGAGGCCACCCTAGGAGAGCCATTTATTGGAGAGAGAGTTCTCTCAGACCACACCAGACTCCCTTGCACCCAAACATCATCACCTCCCTCAGGCCTTGCTGTGGATGGGTCACCCAATTTGGATCCAGTGATTTCTTCTCAAGCCACCACGACATGTAGATTCATGTCCAAGGTCTAAGCACTGCCAGCACTGATGACTCTTTCTTGTGTTCACATTCTGGCTGCATCTTGGGTCCTTCTTTGATGGCATTGATCCCAGAAGAGCAGAATCCCGAGGGCCACCAGGACGAGGCCAGCCAGGCCCATATGGATGAGGTTCCCCACTGTGTAATCCTGAGGCTGTGAGGCTGGGATGGGGACAAAGAGGTCTCAGAGATTAAGACAGAGCAGAAGCTCCACAGGATTCCTGAATATCCATCTTAGGCACCTGCACACTCTAGGCAAAACCTGATCCTCTGTGTTAGGACCCAGAACTGAGAGCCCTCCTTTCCCCATGCACTGACCCTGTCACGTTCTAGGATGGAATCAGGATGTTTTCTTCTTCTCTAAGAACCAAGGAAAGAGAGGAGGACATGAGAAGACTGAGGAGATCTGAGCCTCTCCCTGATCCCCATTCTTACATCTCTTTCTCATGTTACAGCTTTGCAAGGTCTTGAACAGTACTTTCCCTATGGAGCAGGGAGTCCTCTGATCTCTGTCCAGGATTCTTCAGCCTCAGTGGGCACTGTGAGTTCAGATCTTACATCTGAGACCCACAGGAGCAAAGTAACTGGAACTCAGGACCTCAGGATTGGCAGGAGCAAAGGCTTCCAGTCAGAAATAAAGTCCTCCTATGGATTTTGCTGTGTGGGACACAGAACAATGTGATCTCATTCTCCTTGAGATGTTTTTCTCTGATTCACCAGTGGAGGAGCCAGGGTCCAGGAAGGTGGGTTGGTCTTCAGGGCCCCTGAACATCAGGAGCACAAAGGCTGAATTCTGGGGCTGCCTCCCTTTCACCACCCAGCTTGGGCTTCTGGTGCTTCCCCATCTCTCTGTCACCTCTCGTTAGCAAATCATCATGAAGTTAGGAACACCTACAGCACAACACACATGCATATTCTAACAGTGGGAATAGTGGTGGCTTATCAAAATTTCACTTCCTGTTTTAGAAATTTAAAGCTTTCCCAAATAATCAATAATATATGTGCAGAGTGCCAGGGGTGTACCTCAGGGACACAAAAATTTCCTGGCAAGTGTGAAGCTCTGTGTTTGATTCCCACTACCAAAAAAGAAAATACTTAAGAATAATACACATGTAAACACAATGGATACTTAGGGATACATGTTTACATAGATAGAAATCAGAATCCAGCAACATGGCACTGCTGTCCCCACCCAGGAAATACACAGACAAGAAAATCAATGACCAGAGAAGGGACTCTCTTGCTCAGGTCCTGTCCACACCACTTGAAGCTCAGGTCTCCGGACACAAGAAGAGTTGAGGCTGTTACAAGAGCCGAGATGGGCAGAGAGTCTCCAGGCAGCCTGGACATAGGATCTTTGGGATGGAGGCCAAGACTCACCTGCTGTGGAGCCAAGAGAAGAGGGTGGGGAGATGGGACCCTCAGTGCATCCTGGTGTGGTGATGGGCTCTGTGGTTGGGGGGCTTGGAGTAGATGATTCTGCCAATGAAAATAGGAAAATGTGATGTCTAAGCCTGTCCCTGAGCACCGTGCCTCTGATCACTGTCCAAAATGAACCCCAAGGCTGCTCGAACACCCTCCCCTGACCATGTGGAAATTTTTCAATTCAAATCAAATGGCTGGAGTGAGCTGGCCTCGAAGGAGGTCTATTGTCTTACAGGAAGGGCTCTCCCTGACTGGAATCCCCACATAATCCTTACTCCAACTGCAAAAAAATAGCCTCTGGTTTAGGGCCTGAGTGACATTTTGAGTGGATAGTGGACAGGGACAGGGTCTTCTCACCTGAGACCATGAGCTCCAGGGGGTCACTGGGTATGGACCACACTTGGGGACTTCTCTTGTAATGGCCATAGCATCTAAATGTCCATCTGTGCCCAGAAATCAAATGACCCACAGCGAACAGGGCCTGGAACTGTCCGTTGGTAAGTCGCCGTGAGTTCAGGGTCCAGGAGAGCTTGTCTCCACCTTCCCTAGTCAAAATGAACCCAGCAAATTGTTGTCTCGTGATACACTGGAGGGTTACATTGTCTCCTGATGTCATTGCATGGCTGGGCAGTGCTGAGAGGCTGGGTTTGCTGTAGATTCCTAGGAGAGAAGGAGGCAGCATGTGAAATGGCGGCGGGCTGTGTGATGGCGACACCCCTGAGAGTAGAGCCCTTCCTGAGGGCAGAGCCTAGGGCTAGGACCCTTAGTGTCCTCTCACCTGTCACCACCATCTCCAGGGCATCACTGTGCTCTGACAAGCCAGCAGTGCTCTGATAGTAGCAGTGATATCGCCCTGCATGGCCATCATTTATGGATGGGATGGAGAACTTGGCCTTGTTGTTGAGTAAGAGTGACATCTCCGAGATCCTGGGACTTCCTTCTCTGTACAGATTGTACTTCTGGGCTCCCACATTCCCCTGACACCAGATGCTCACAGAGCTCCCCCAGGGCAACACAGAGCCTGGCTTGGCCCACAGTGTAGGCTTGGGGAGGGTCCCTGCAAGGAAATGGGAGTCTGGGTTGAGGATCTTCTCACCTCCTGCATCCATCCCATCCTCATGCTCAGGCCAAGCCTGTGTTCTACTAACTGAGGGCCAGGAGCTGAGGCTGAGGCAGCACACAGAGTTCTGGGGAGGACTCACCTGTGAGTCCTTGCAGCGCCATGTGCAGACTCAGCCCTGGAAGAGAGTTTCCTGTCTTATCAGAGGTTCTGTCTGATGCCTCACCTGATCCCGCTCTCTAGTCCAGCCTGGTCTCCTCCACCTCCCCACTCTCACCTAGGCAGAGCAGAACAGGCACGGTAGGCATCGTGTCACCTCCTGTGATGGCTCTAGCTCTGACAGAGGAGACCTCAGCGCTGCAGGACAGACAGAGGAACGGAAGTGGAAAGTCAGAGCTGTTGCAGCCCCTTGTCCCCACCTCTGTGGACTCAATGAAAGGAGACCAACAAATCCTCCCTGGACCAGGCTCTGCCTTCTACAGGCTCAGCATCCATAGTTCCATGGAGAAATCTCTGCCTCTGTGATCTCCTGGTTCCAGGACTTCCCACACGGCAAGATTCCATTCATTCAAGGAAAGACTGGTTTCCATCCTTCATGACCACAGAAACCGGACTCCAACCTAGGACCCTAACTTTCTGAGAGCCTCCTCTGTACTGTCACTCCTGGGCCATTTTTAAATGAGTTTTTGCTTAGGAGAGTTTTCCTGGATTCTAGAAATAACTCAATGTCTAGCGGAGTACATGGCCTGCATGCTGAGAGGGAGATATTCAGTGCGAACCCAGTGTCTGATCACTCATCCTGCAGGAACAGGAGGTGGATGGAAACTCTCTCCTCATCAGGTTTTCCTCTCTCTATAGTAGCTGTCTCCAGGATTCCGCTAAGGTAACCACACAATGGGTGACCCAGCAGCTGAAATAAATGTGTGCTGCTTGCTGTGCTCAATTCAGGTTTCCTATATTTATGGTTTTCCTTCTGGTTACCTGAAGGACGACTCCTGTCCCACGCTGCAGAGTGACTCACAGCAGCTGTCCCCACACCTGTGCTGTAGGCTGAGAGCTCAGCTGGGCTTCACCATCCCCAAGACCTGGTCTGTCCTTGAAAAGAAAAGAGTGTGGCTTTGTGTGAATAGGAGGTGGCAAGCTGAGCACTGCATGCAGGTCCTTGTTTTCTTTGTTTGCTTTACCACTGGGATGTTCACCTGTGTGTGAGGAAAGTGACAGTGGGTGCTGTGCACACCCAGCAACAGTGGCTGCTCCTGGTGCTCCCTGATGTGCTCCTTCCAGGGCTGAAGTTTCTGTGGTGCTACAGAGGCTCTGCCTGCCTGGTGGCCTGTGTTGGATCCAGGGGAAAGGAGAAGGCTGTAGGGCTTCACTATGGCTTGGCGAACAACTTTCTCCATGTCACAGGGCCTGGGGAACGGGAAGCCTGTCCTTGTTCAGTGTGAAGAAAGCACTGTGAGGGGTGACAGCACTGAAAGAGCACCCAGCGGTGAGGCTCCCTCTGAGCCTCCCCAGGCAGGGTCACTGTCCTTGGTGTGTGCAGAACTCTGTGCACAGGAACAGGGACTAGAGCTGGCAGTAGTGCCTGGCTGTGGGACCTCATGTGTATCTGGGTGAGCATGGTGACTGCTCTGGGACAGAAAACTCAGTGTTCTCATGCGGGAAATGCAGAGACACAAGGGGCCCATAGTCTGAATACCTGCATAGTCCAACAGTGCCAGAGCCCCCTGGTAGAGGTGACCTGTGCCCACAGCACTGTGATCAGAGCACAGGAAAGCAGGAGGCAAGCCTCCAATGGGAGCAGCATCTCCCATGGATGGATCAGAATCATCTGGAGTCACAGGAGCTAAGGGCACCACTGTGAATGGCTGTGGGGTTGGTCTAGGAGAGGAATCTGGAGAAGAGGGGAGGATCGGGCAGGATACAGCTTAGAGTACTGGGTGTTGGGAAGTTTAACAAGAGTTTGGAAAGAGCTTAGAGCACTGGAACCTAGACAGAAGTGGAGATGGTGAATATGATGCTCAGTGGTTTAGATGGAAACAAGCACTGTCTCAGGAAATGGGTCAAAGGCAGCTCTTAATAATTTTGGGAGCTCTTGTCTTTTCCAAATTGAAATTTAAACATCTCATGTCTCCCAAGATAAAAGTACTGCAGAAATAGTAATAAAAATTCATAAAGTATGAGAAGAGTGTATTAGGAAACTCAGGGAAAAGAACCAACAGAGAACCCTGAAACAGACTGTGAAGAGAATCTTTCCCCCCAAATAGCTTTGACCATTGTGTTTCAGGTCACCACATCATTGTTATTAGGGAGGAAGGTAACAGTCACAAAACTTCTACCACTGGAAAACTGGTTAACACATTTCCCCTTACATATAATGGTTTGCAGCTATACTGAAGTATACAATGGAAGTGTTGAGCACAAAGATATAAAAACATTTATAAGGCCTGATTTGTAATCTATTCTCCATAACTCTTGATAAAGAAAACCCAGAGTCTGTATCTCTGAGAGGTTGGTTGTGCTGTGCTGCAAAGCTGAGAATATTTGTTGCTGGCACAGCTTCCTCTTAGCACCGGTTGAGCTGAACCAGCCCCAGATCCATGCTGTGTCAGGCAGAGAAAGGGTATGGACGTCTGTACTTCTATCCTCACCCTGCCATCCACAGTGGGCTGTGTGTGTCCTGCAGTGTGGGTGGCTGTCTTGCACACAGCATGATCACAGTGTGAGTGGACTCCTCTCTGTCCACTGACCAGTGTGTGCCCCTCAGACACAAACAGACAGATAAGGACGAGCTGTTATCCTACTGCCCCTGGGAAAGGAGAGTGACTGGGTCATGTTAGAGGGTCCAGAGGTCCATAGAATCTTCCTCGGTCAGAAGTGGACATCAGTGCAATTCCCCAGCATGTGTTGCTGAAACCTTGTGTGGACAGGATTCTCGGAGGACAGCTGGCTCTGAGAGGTGAATGGGAATCACCTGAGCCTCAGAACGCTGATATTCCCAGCATGAGAAGCAAGGGAGTTAAGGTACTGGACAAATGAATTGTGTACCAAGTTCCACAAACACCATGGGGTCTACAGACCCTCCTCCCTGTTGCTGAGAGATGAAGGAAAATTATGTGTCCACACTGAGTGCCCCAGAAATGTGGGGAATACTATGGGAAGGAAACTATGAGGTAATTCCAACAGCTAGGGAGCCTCTAGTTCAGAGTAGCAGGCCAAAGCTTGTTCTGCAGGGACACTGATTTCAGGGAAGAAGAGGGATAAAGTGAGCTTTGAATGGTCAGCAGAATCCTGCTTCCACAGCACAGAGTGCAGAGAGCGGCCATGTCTCCCTGTCTGCAGGAGCAAGGGTCAGAACACAGTCACAGACTCAGTGCTGGGGCAAAGTCTTTATCCCAGCAATTTCCAGGAAGGCAGGAGACGTGAGACACTGCATCAGGGATTCTGCTTTATACCTGATGCCAGGAGACAAAGGCATTTGCCATTGACTTCAAATATTATGGCCTGTATGTCTCTCAGGTGAATTCTAGCTCTGTGACTAAATGAACCAGTTGATTCTAAATCTCCACCATCCCCTAGAGCAGAAGGGAAGTTGCCGCAAAGGGACAGGAATGAACTCACTGTCTCCACTCCCCTGTGCCCCGTGAGCTCCTGAGTTCCAGTGGATCTTGGTGAAGGGCTTAATTTTAGCTTTAATCATTTTTGTAATTTAATGTCAGTGATATCCACAGGTGCTGCCCTATTTGGTAGCTGACGTACAGATACACATCATTATGAAATTTTGTTGGATAATTTCCAGAAAGAGTGAGCTGGCCACGTGCACCGAGCACTAAGGGATCATCACAGGAGAGTTTCAGAATGTGTGCCCACCTGCAGTGAGAACTTAAGTGTGGCTCACATCTCCACCCACCTGACATCACTAATGGAGTCACAGGAGACTGGTGTCATTAATGGTAAACACAGTCTCACTGTACAGATTGTGCTGGTGCCACCTTGAGAAGGAGCAGCATCCCTGTGGGAGAAACCTGTCCAGGAGAGTCCCAGGCCCTTGCCCATGGTGCTCTGTGTGCTCAGAGCCTGAGGTGCCCCGACCCCTACATGGGCTTGGCTTACAGTGCTGGGTCCACAGGGCAGTGGGTGAACACTGCTGTGAGGGATCTGAGGTCTCACACCTTTGTCATCTCCTGTGTGTCTTTGGCTGCAGGGTCCTGACAAGAGGAAGGGGAGGGATAAGAGCCCAAGACTGCAGAAGCTGAAGGCAACACTTTCAGCTTCTGCATGGGTTGGCAAATGCAGGGAGTTATTTTCTCAGGGAGCTCCTGTCCCACCTAGCATTTGGTCCTCTTTGTGCTGTGGTGTCAGATACAGAACATCGCTCAGTGAGTTTGTTGTTTAGAAACTCACTGTGGAGCTCACAGATCAGGGTCCCACCCTGTGTGAGCATAGCTAACCACACAGCATCACATCATCCCAGGGAAAACAGGGTTTAGCCAAGCTGGTAGAAAGGTTGTTAGGACCACATAGGAGAGCAGAGTGTCCTGGCTTAGAGAAAGAATGTGAAGCCATTCTTGCACTCACAGCCCTCAGTGATTTCTTCACTTGCATCCCTGTGAGGTTTTACCTATCCAAGTGCATTTACATATCCCAGTATGTGCAGGGCTTCCTGTTGCTTTGGCAACATGCAGCTCACCCCCGCATGGACATGACAGGTCTCTCAGAACAGCAATTTCCCTTAGAGAGCTGATCCAACCTTGCAAATTTTCTCTTCACAGCTTTCTTTATTAATAATAGTGAATGCATTGGAGAATAGGCTGAAATCTACCAGAGTCAAGCAAAGGAAGTCAAATGTGGGATTATTTACCACAATTCTCTCACAGAGGTTCCATTTAGGCTTTGCAGCAGAGTCTATCTCCTCATCCTGGACAGGCTGGAGAAGAGCAGGCAGCTCCTGGCCTACACAGGGGTCTTAGTTGCCAGCACTGGGGCTTCCTCTTCACAGAGGTGACTACAGCTCATGCCAGACTCCAGAATCTGAGTATCACAGGCTCCTGCAGAAGACTCTCTTAGCACAAAGCAGAGCCATTTCAGCTCCCTAAAAAGAATGAAACCCTCAGGTTCTGGAATAACTTGCCCATGAGTTGACAGAAGATGTACTGGAAAGTCTGCTATGTCACCTGCTTCCACCCCATATCTTCCACATGGGAAGACCTTATAATCAAGGGGCAGGTAGCGATCAGGGAGGACACAACATGTGGCATAGAGGATTGGGTCAGAAAGCATCTTGGAGAGAGAATCACACGGGAAGTGACCCATGTGCATTTGGACCCTGCCCTTCCTGATTGTGCCGGGTCCTGAGTGTTGACCTGAGCCATTTGTGCTGGGCACCGACAGTGCTTGAGCTCAGCCTCCCAAGGCTCATCCTGCCTCGGTCTTGTAAACCTCATGTCTCAGGACAGGCTTCTCCACCAATACCC